CCCCAAAACCCCAAAACCCCAAAACCCCAAAACCCCATCATTTGGTATATTTTATCAAGATGAGATTAAATTAAACAATTAAATATCGATTTAGTCATCTAAATTTCCTTTAAAAATAATACCCTCTAGCTTATTTCAATGGCACTGATTTAATAATTATTACTTAGTAATCAATTTCATATTAAACCTTAATCATCTTGAATAACTAAGGTCGAATTGCAGGCGATAAAACTTTAATCATTATTATTTTAATCCTCATTCTAATTGAGCTCTTCAAACTCTCTTTTATCCTCGACTATAAAGTACTCTGCTTATTAATTCTCAGTAAGTTAAACTGAATTTTCATCAGAATCTTCTTAGTTATTCAATTATCTCTTATTATGACCAATTTTCAATAGTAAGTTTTCTGGTTATTCTAGATTATTTTAATTATCCACGCGATCTTTATCATTATCATCTTGAATTTATCTTATATTATCTGGTTAAGGTTACTCAGCACTCTTGTTTTAATTCTAGTCATCCTACTATTATTTAACCTTGAGTTATTTTGATTACTTAAAACTCTCAATGAAATCATCTACTTCTCTATTTTGATCATGAACTACATTATTAACCGCTTATCTTCCTTCTGCCTATCTTCTGTCTATATTCTATGCTAATTGTACTTAATTCAACATCACGCCTTTTTCATCATAATAGGTATACATAGAGAGCGCTTTCTAGGCTTTATAAATAATTTCTCCGTTCTTGATGCGAATCTTTATAGTATCGAGATGTCTTAAAGAATCTCTGAGATGATTCAAGAAAATTTCGTATTCTTTAAGTAGTTTTTCAATTGAGATCAAGTCTTTGGCTACATTACCAACTGATATTTAGTCAAGATCCTATTAATAATGCTTAAGGGATTGCTTCTTACATTTTCTATTCCTACTTATAATTCTAGCTCAAAACATACTTTAATAGATAGGAGTTGCTTCTATTCTAATTCTATTTTAGTTTTCGCCTCAGAAGAATTTTAAATTTAGATTACTATTTATTCTAATGTTTCTTCTACTTATGATATCTAAAAAATCATTAACTTCTTATTATTGAAATTTACATACTGGAATGATCTTATTAATATTTATTGATTAGCAAACACCCATTGTAAAGAAAGGATTTTATATTGCAAGAAATTAAACAATTATAATTTTATCTTAACAAAAAAAATAATTCAGATTCCAACCAATTAATTAAGATTTTTGAATTATGGGGTTTTGGGGTTTTGGGG